GCTGGCACAAGCGGCAAGTGGGGAACTGCCTTATACTACTACAGTGCATAACAAGCAACATTACTCTACAGGGATGTTCCCAACAGCCAGGTTTTTCCAAAATCCTTTTAGTCACTCTTGCCACCGTCCACATCCTGGATTCCAATTCTCTAAAGGTGGGGTTCTACTTCTGCACTGGTGGATCTGAGCTTGTTCTGCTCATGGTCTGTATCAGACCAGGGCAAGACAGCTCCAGACAAGAAACCGCACTGCATGTGTCCAGATGCACCTGGTGAGCCAGGATATATCTGCATACATCCTATAGGCAGACCCCCCATTTCTGCAAACACTTAATACAGGTGTGCTCCTGAGGACAGCCCTGACAAAAATTCCCAGCAGTCAGTCCCGCAGGATACACCTATCCAGAGCCAGGAAATGTGGACAAACCATTGACATTCAGTGGCTTTACAGCCTATTTTGCCAGTCTCTAACAAAGTCAAGTAGTTACAAAGCAACACAGATACAGCAGGATAGAAGAAAATAGCAAAGGCAATACAGGAAGCCAATTCCTGGCACATCCCCAGGTACTTCAAGCCTTGAAGCCAAGGTTTTTTAACTGACATACACTGACTTTCCTACACCCTGTGTTACGTACAACCACTCAGAAATGAAATTACTCAACAGATTTGTGCAAAAAATAAAAAAATAATAAAATTACAAAAATACAAACAAACAAAAGCCCCCATACAGATGTGTACTTAACCCTTCACTCATCAGTCTTGCAGGGCATATATCATGTCTTTTAGACAACACAGACTCAAGAAGGCTAATGTCTTGTGTCTAAAGTCCCACCTCAAAACTGCTGTCAGAGCACAACTCATGTATAGCCAAACTCGTGTAAGAAGTATAGAGCCTCTGGAAATGTTGCCACTCTGTGAGCAGACCAAACAAAACTGACACACAAAAGACAAGATGTGTAAGGAGACATCTTATATTACAGCAGAATAGTAATAAGCCTTGACACGTTCTAGACATTCAGGTCCTCTTTCCATGTGACTCAACCAAACTCCGCATCACAAACAGAGACCTCCAACTTTAGTTAACTAAGGTAATCAAGCAAAATTTTAATAACAAAACATACCAAGGATGGTGGCTGAGGATCAGAGAGAAAGTTAGCAAGAGGAAAGGTGATGAAGCCACTCATCCTACAATCCATCCTCCTATGAAAGTCTGCAACCAGAGGAAGGAATGGGAGTAACTCAGAGTCCACTGCATGAGGCTTGGCTTCAATCAGAGGCAGGAAAATGCTTCCTACACTCTGCTTCTTGGTCTCTAAACATTTATATTTTACCTGTTCTTTTAATAGCTAACACGTGCAGACAAGTTTCAAGCTTATGACTACGGCTCTAAGGAAAACATGAAGAAATACAACCAGGTAAGGTAATATGGTTTCCCTAAGAACTCATCCTTGGGTTCTGGCAAAACTAAGAACAGACAAGGCATAGACAATTCCTTGCAGACAGCTAACAGAAGTTTGTTTTGCGTCCCCTACTGATGCAAGGATATGTCCAATGACATGTCAATTTACCTGCCATTCCCAAAAGGCTAAGAGTCACACCCAAATCCCTGGACTAGATGAGTATGGAGCTCTTCACTTCCCCAGAAATCCTCAAGGTTTGCCTTTCAATTAAAGGAGGAAATGAATCTCACAGCTATGGTGACCTCTGCAATTGGCTGACAATCATTTCACTTTTAACCAGCACATTTGACTTGCAGTGTCCTGTGCTGTACCAGGGCAGGCTGCATTTCACAGACAGAAAGACTCCAGAGAGAGAATCAGTCACTTTAACCCATGCACACTGTCTCAGAAATGTTCTAGGGTGAAATTATAAATGGTTAAAGTATCTCCTTGCTACTTAAGTCCCAAGCATAACAACTAAGACCAACAGTTGTATTTCACACCCCAGCAAAACTTAAAGATCTTCCTACCCTAAATATAAACATGAATACACTCCACAGCCCTTGCCTGATAAACACAGACTCTGCTCTTTCCATGCTCCCACCTCTGAAGGGCACAAGCAGACTGCAGGATAACTCATAGCCATGCATTATGGAAAGACACAGGATAGGATGGATCGCTCCTTGTCACAGTAGACTGGGAACAGGGTAGGGGAAATAGACACTAAGAGGGCAGCCTTCATCCCTACTGTTGTATTGTAGAGATCACAGAAAGGAGGGACAGATGCTTGCACAGAATCCTTTCTCAAAGCATGACTTCCGATACAACAGCACTCACTCACGTCTCCTCCCTTTCTTACAGTCTACTCCTCCTGTGTACGAGATAGAGAAGATAAGCACACCAATTGCTGTTTGGAGCGGTGGACGTGACAAATTTGCAGATCCAAAAGACATGGCAAAGCTACTTCCTCGGATTACTAATCTCATTTACCATGAGCATTTTCCTGCTTGGGGACATCTTGATTTCATCTGGGGCCTTGATGCAACTGAGAAAATGTATTGGAAAATCGTTGAACTAATAACCAAACACCCTTAAAAACCACATGCAGAGTGTTGATTCACTTAGTAAAGCCACCAAAATTTCTATTTGGCAATAAGGGTGATACCTGGGGAAGAGGTAAACACACAGACATACGTAATGGATACCACTATAGGTACTTACATGCACTTGTTTGTTTCTTGCTTTCCTCGCAGTTTGAGGTTTTCCATGGTGTTACTGTGACTGCTGTCTTTCTGAGAAGTTTGAGGTGTATAGGAATGAAAGCTGAAAACATGAATAGTCTTGAGTACACACTGCAGGGAGTCACTTAATTTGAACAGCTTTTATTTCTACAAGACTAATTTTCCAAAGCCTAAACTCTGTTGTTCTCGTCTATATATTGCGTACC